GATTTGCTCTTTTATAAATGTGAACTAGTGATCTGTCTTATGGACTGAATTGGCTCTCATCCAAATACCTCATGTCTCTCCCATGTAAGCAGTTGTCGACTGCGTTCATATTCACCGCAAATTTTTCGTAAACACATTATATTCAAGGAAATTATCATCAAAAGAGAAATACGGTTGTCTTGAATTGTTCATGACAATACGCTGGGTCCTCTCTCCCAGCCAATATATTATAATTACTGTATATACACAGTTTTAAGCTCAATGCTGTAAAGTTTACCAACGGAAAAAAAATTGGTATGTTGAAAGCACATTTTTGAAAAAGGCAACTTAAAGGAGCGTATTAAGTATTCTGCCACCTCAAGCGAATATATGACCAAAGGAATGGACGTGTGTTTGCAAGGACCACGTTGCAGGTGGTATCTGCAGGAGAATACACGCGCACTACTATCGATGATGTTCAGCAACAATCTCTGAACCTGTCCTATCCGGTACTGCCTCATACATACATGAGCCTACGTATATGCCCTATTGCCCTGTATTAAATGGCTGGATGGTGAAGTATGGACCCAGAACTGACAACGGCAGAGAGTCTGACACGGCCTCTTGATTGACATCAACCATTGAGACACGCGAAACTTGGCCGGCACATTTAACCAAGGTAGTGTGGACATCAATATAGGCAAAGCTACGGAGGAACCACCAGTACCACACAGGCATCTCGAGAATATGGCTTCACTAGCAAAGCTGTCATTTTTAGAAATTTTGGGAAAATATTGTCGAAACTACTTTACTGGCATTGTCACTATATTATTCGAGAACTGCCGAGTATGGCAGCCCTTTGTTAAACAGACAAGCAGAAAATGTTTAAAGCTCGTTCTAAAAATAAACGCTGGAGCTACCGTACATACTCTACATTCGTCTCTGACTATGAGGTCCTTACTTACTAACTACAAAGGACCAAATTGAAAACGGATTAGCAGTTTACCCCCTTTTCGCCCACAAACTTCTAAAGCCTTGCTGGCAGCAATCCGCGTTGAAATCCGGAACAAACTCACAGTATAGTTTAACTCCTCCTGAAGTCCAACGCCCACTCCAGACACACATACTTAAGTGTAGTTGAAAAGCTATTGCTCGTAATTTACCATGCGCGAGCGTTATTCGATACTGTAGTAGCGTTTGGCCTCCTCTGTGGGTTTACTTAGTCTTGTTCTCTGCTGCGGTGTGAGTGGAAAGCCATGTCTGTTACCATCTGTAGAAAGCTCTCAAGAAAAGTCAATGTTGTAATGTTTTGTTTTCTGATTGCAAGTGAAAGAAATGTCAATAATAAAAAAAAAACTGTTATTTGCCATCATTAAAGCCCTAGATTAAGTACCTTAAGTGTTCCTGACTAGTTATTACACTAATAAAAGTTTTTTCTTTATATCAGAGCTGGCTATAGCCAAAACATGAATCTTTACCCGTTGGCAAAAAACTGCGCTGAACATCTCAATCTTTGCTTGAACTTCTTGTCTGCATGTTTTTTAATTTGGTCACTCAAAACTTTATTGAATTACTGTTAGAGGCAAAACAAATAGTGTGGCACAAACCAGAAATGATTACTGGACTGACAGAGCTTTTGTCATATCCTGTTGCAATCATAGGCTACGAGCTTGCTTGCTCTACACTCAAAAACTAATTATAACGACACCATTTTACCACCTACTTAAAATAATGTAAAATGAAAAGTAAAAAAAAGGAAAAAAGAAAAAAAAAAAGAAAAAAAGAAAATGAAAAAGCATTAAAATGCTATTCTAAAACACTTATGCTTTGACAGTGGGGCAGGGCAACAAGCCAGGACTGTAAGTATATCAATAATTGCTTGTTTACACAGCCTGCCCTCGCGTCCAAGCTTTACCAATTTACAGCTACATTTACCAACAATGTATCCTTGTTGCCACTAACATTGCCTCCTACTAACTTACATCGGGTCATCTTCAGTGTAAGACTATTTGTCATACGATCGGCCATTATGAACCTCACAGGTATCCTTGGCCGCAGGGCTCCTAGGCACGCTGGGCAGGGGATACGCCACATCGGGCCGCACTGTCCAGCACGTGCAAAGGCTTACAATGGCCAATTCTATGACTATTATTGCAACAAAGACCAGATACCTCTAGTACGCTACATCATGATATCAACACACACGTTCATAATATCAGGTAAGATCCGTGTTATAAGAACTGGTGACCTATTCTTAACATACCAATGAAAAGGATCTGAATCCATTGTAAAGAGTACAAGTGAACTGATATATAAGTATCATATAGAGTAAACAGTTCCAAAAAGAGAATAATAATAATTGTGCCTAATCATGGAATAATTTTAGAAACATAACACACTATTCTTGAACAGTATTGTACATTTCACTGCATGAGCATGGAAGGCAACCGGGAAAACTTTTTCTTGGACAGTTTTATTACTTTTGAGCCCCTCCCCCCCCTTAATTTTGGAAAAGCCTCTTCTGTAATTCCAAAGGAAAATTGAAAAAGGCTCTAATTTACCATAATTGATTCACTTGGGGGGGGGAAAGGACTTACTTTTTCCCTTCCTTTACCTAGAAATTTATGAAAACCTTCAGTAATTATTAATGACGAGCCCTAAAAAAATGAAAAAATAAAAGGGCCGATAGCAGAGAAGGAAGATACACCTCTCTAAATTTCTTTTTTTTTTTTTTTCTTTTACTTAAATCATTAAATGAAAGTTTACCCGGTTTCTCCTCCTCATGTGATACAGAATAATGATAATAGTGATATAGAGAGAGCGTAGGACGGACAGTGGGGTACTGCCCAAGCTTCCAACTCAAGGAGGGTTTATACTGCACTTATCCTACCACAACTGCTGGGCTCCTCAGGAAAACATTAGACATAAAATTACCACTTACATTTTTATTTCTCTAAAAAATAAGGTCAAGAACAGCATATTTCCTATGACAATATGCAAGGTAACACAAGAATACAAGTAACTTGTCATCATTTCTAGTAAAATCTGGGTTATACTGTTAACTAAATCCTTACTAAATTTTACAAGACTTTTCCTTTATCATTTACACAAACTACAAAGCATAAAACACTTGACAGTCACCATAGAAAAGACTGAGGGTTGTTCATTTTTTTGTTTGTTTTTGTTTGTTTTATATGGGGGCAGGGGGGGGGGGGATGATGATGATACTTATTACATCAAAGCTTCTTTACAAATAATAATAATATTTACCAAGTACAAATTATTAAAAATTAAAAAATAAAAATAAAAAAATAAAAAAAAAAAACTGAAGCTTCCTGAATTTGATCTGCAGTGAGCCTCCAGTGGGGCATTGCCAGTGAAGAGTCCCTGAGGGAGTCCAGCGGGAAGAAGAGAAACACCGACCCCCCCTCCTCACCATGGTGCTGGCGGGGGAGGGGGAGGGGGGAGAAGTGCTGCGAAATGTCCCTAACAACCATCTCAAAAAACTACACAGCCAGCAGTCTTTCTCTCTCTCTCTTTCTCTCATCATCATCATCATCATCATCATCATCATCAGCCAGCTGCTGTTCATTAATTCCCCACAGTCACAATTATACAGCAACCCCAAAAAATTGGCCAATATTTCCTCCCCAAAAGTTGCCAACAATCTCACTGAGCTGCTAACAACCCCATGGAGACCGTGAACATCCGGGTCCTCCAGAAAACACTCTTCAAGAATGTTATCAATGGAACAAGATGTTAACGTGTCCCCAATCTTCCCTGCCTGGCTGCCAACAACCCTGGTGTACCCTGCAGGTCACTAAAGCAGCAATGAAGCAACTGAAATGGCCCGGGTACGACAGGTCACCACCGCTGCTGCTGCTGCCGTCGTACTGCGAGCTCTTCACTCGGCCATCTTGTTGGGGATATGTCTTGAGGATGAGAAACACAGCTTCATGATGAAGGGGAACTTGCTGTCTGTTGGGGCAAAGGAAAAGGAATTAGCTCAAACAAATGCTTTTTCACTCTACTGAAAACAAATTCTACAAGAAAAATAAAAAACAGAATCCAGCTACTTCAGTTGGCAAATACAAAATCATTTTAGTCTATCAACCTACTTCGATGCATACCACTTCAATTAAACATCTTGGTTTTAGAGAAAGAAAGATTCCTATTACTATCAACTCATAAGAGAAATCCCTTATGGAAAATAACAGGACAAACCTTGCGACATTCACAATAGCACGTGTGGCAACACTAGCAATAACAAAGAAAATATAAAACAATATATAACCCTAATTCTATATACACATACAATAACACTTACTAGGGTTGGGGATGGGTGCATGGTTCCCAATCACCAATCCTTCCAGAGCCTCAGAGATGTTGTTGAACTCCAAGAGCCCGCTGGAGCTCCTCTCAGCTGTTGGGGGGGGAAAACAAAAACATTAGACCGACTCCTGTGTTCGTGGAACCTTGAAGATCGAGTGAAATACAAGTATCCTTGAGAACTCCACTTTTTCCTGGGAATCCTCCTTTCAAAAGGAGAGGAGTTTGAGTTCACAAAAGAACAAACCCAAAAGCCAAAGAATGGTTCCAGGAGAGCACAAGGCAAGAAAAGAGCTCAGGAGTGAGTCTAGGGGCACCTTATGAAGAGAATAAGATGCAGAGAGATGTCATCTTCACCTTCAGATCTGGCTCGTTCATTAAACAGATCACTACACATATTTAGAGAAAAGTACCACAATCAGTTTCAAATTCATGGTATACTCTTCAAAATCAAATTGTTCAGTGATAAAATTAAGTTGGTGTGATCTATAAAAAAAAGTGACTATGGGCATCATTTTGCACTTCTGGTTTTCAGAATCTTTTGAGCTATGTATAACATCACTCTTCTTTCAATAATAGAAAGCTAAAAAAATATATATACATATACAATATGTATTCTAAAGTAATTAACTCAAGATAAATACAAGGAATCACTTTTATAAAATGAAATTAGTCTAAAAATCTTATTACAACAGCAAAATTGCAGTCTGCACACTAGAGATTTTTTTGTTTACAGGAAAACAGCAACCATGTAAACTCACCACAACAAAAGCAATTGATTTGAGAAACAAGAACCTCTAATCAGCACCGTAAGCAACTATTAAATGCTTAACCTGTCACATCAAGTTCTTGGGGTTAAAAAGAGCACATGTATATGCAGTCAAGTAGACCTCCATTATAGGAGTTTTCTTGTCCCAAATCCCTGGGTCAACAACTGAACTATTTTGAATGAGCCAGTTTTATAAGAAGTGTGAAGATAAAAGAAATTATATGCACAAGATATGCTTGTACCAAAAAAGAAAAGAAAAAGAAGAAAAACAGATGGCAATATATGCATGACAACTGCTTGAAAAACAAAAAAAAATAATGATTATAATAAGGATATGCAAATTCATTATTTCAATTATTTCAGCAGCAGACACATCCTTTGGTTTTGTATCAAATCTACATAAAATTTAGCTTAATACTGGTATTGCAATAAATGTGCACAATGTGTTAAAAGACATATCACAGCTTACCCCAGCCAGTAACAACCAAAGCAATGACTGGACCTAAACAGAGCCATGCTACAAAGGCTTACTCTTGCATAAAAGGAAAAAAAAATACAAAACCAAAGGCGGCCACACTGTATCTTTCAAAATAAAAACAAAGTTGGTTTCAAAAGATCCTGCGTCTTTCCCAATGATTCACTCACACTTACTCTTTGATGGGAACAGCTTGATGCTCTTAGGCTCTGTGACTCCCCCATCAATGAACACCTGTTTAAGCTGGTCCTCATCCAGGCCAGGAGGAGTGTTGAAGAAGTGCAGAATCTGAAAAAAGGAAGAGTTGAAGTCCATTGAATTAACTTATCCCCATTGAAAAATTAGATTTAAAGTTTTACACTTTTGCACGTTTCCATCTTACTGTAATTAGAATTCATTTGCAATTGAGCCAATACTAACATGGAGAGATTTAAATAATTCTGATGGAATGGCATCATTTGAATATTCACTTTCCACATGCTAATAACCACAAAAATTATTTTATGCTAGGATTCTTTCCACAGACCAGCTGGTGTGAGTGAACTTGGATTCTCCCTAACTGCCAGTATCTTAATTGTTTTTCAACAAAGCTTCCCTTACTGATTAAGAAATAGAAAAAAGCAAATAATCACTGCTTCCTTCCGTCTTGGAATGACTACATGCACTTAGATCTGAAGTATCAAAAGAATACTCATTGCAATCCTGGTATGTGAGAATGAGAAATACCCGAGCTTCCACCCACGTATGATGAACTTTCCCTTGGTTTTTAATTAATATCTTTTAATATTTGTAATCTATCCTAATAAGCTGAAGAAAATTACTAAGTACGCCAAAGATATATGACAAATACAACTTAGTGCTTTCATATTCTCTCACATCAGCTGAAACATGCTGTGGTAACCAAATGTAATATGAAGTTAATGAACTTATTTACATATTGAACTACCATCTCTTACACAGCTTTTACCAAACGATAATTGTAAATAAAACAGGTCTTCATAAAAGGATAAGACGGGATTCAAACTCCCGAGACACCCACCTTGGATGGAGGCTGTATCCTGTTCTTGGATGCCATTTCAGGGTTAATGAACCTGTTGTTTTTGTTGCCCATGTAGTCCTTGAATGAGGGGGTTCCATCGGGCAGGTCATATGGCTGCTGGACATCAGCAAGGAAAGCCTGCTTTGAGTATCTGGAAGGCAAAACGCATGACATGAGTACTTTCTGACATGGATGGATGGATGGATGGATGGGTAAGAGAGGAGAGAGGGAGGGGGAGAAAATAAATTAGTCTGTCGTGTTATGAGCTTCCAGTAACAGGAAAATTAAGTACTGCCTCGCCCACATAAAAATTAAGTACTGCTTCTGTTTAAGTAATACCTAATAGGTAGATACCCATATAATGAGCTTCCAGTAACAGGAAAATTAAGTACTGCCTCGCCCACATAAAAATAAATTTTAAAAGAATGGAAAATGATACAGGGTAGTGTAGGACATGCTTAACAAAATAATAGGATAAAGTCCCATAAAAAATTATTATTATTTTGAAAAATACAGAAAATGAAAAAACTTGCACAAACCCTAACAAAAACCACAAAGAATGGAACTGAATATAAGGAAGAAAAAGGAAGTGGATGGTGAGAAGCAGGAAAGACCAAAAGAGAAAAAGAACTGCAGCAAGAGAGTGGTAACTCTACTGCCAACCTGACCCCTAACGTGACCCACTGAGAGAGTTGGTGAACGGTTCCCCCACATGCTCCCGACCCCCAGAACAAAATCAATACCCAATTTTCACCGAGATAAACCTGTTTTCTTTATCGGCTAGCCTGCTACCAGCATAGTGCGGCATGGCTACACCCTGAGTGAAAGACCTCTACTACATACTCTATTCCCTACAACTAATAAACAGACAGACGGTAAGGGATTTTTTTTTTTTCCCCCCCAAGATATAAATCATTTACAATTCATTGAGGTTATCTTGAGAACAATGCAATTGGAAAATTAAAGAATTAAAAACTAGAAACTATGCTACTATGATTAGTAATACTGATGTAGGAGTAATAACAATGTCAAAATGTTAATCTTGAATCATATCAATTCACATTGCGGTATTAATACCACTCGTTCAAATTTGCTTATACAATTCTTGTTTTTCTTTTGACTGACTGGCAGAACAGAGAAATGGACTAACAAAAAAAAAAAAAAAAAAAAAATCATTTATATAGAGACAGCACTACAAAAAATTGGTGAGAAGAAAGGATGAAAAAACAGTAGGGGAAAACACCACCAACAAAACATGAAGCAGGACAATCAATCACATGACTGGAATAAGATAAATGTTGGAATAAAATGAGCAAATGAAAGTAGTTTGTGGATCTTTGAGTGCATGTCGTGTATGTGAGCATGTGACTGCATGAATGCATATATGTATGTGCGTGTCAGTGAGCACATGAATGCATGCATGCATGTGCGTATACAAGTGAGAGAATGAGTGCAAGACCATTTGCATGTCCTTCCCCATTAGAGTGAATTAGGAATTCCTCTCGAAAATAAATATATCAAGAAGAAAAGAAAAAAGAAAAAAAAACAAATGTAGTAATAATAATAAAAAAATAAATAAATAAAGGGAATCTCCCAGGCAGCGAGTCCCAGTCGGCCAGCGTTGACACAGCTGAATTCAATCCATCGCCCTGGCCCGACAGATGAGAAGCCGACGAGCGAGCTGTCAACTTCAGCCCGGCCATCACCCCCACTTTGCTCTGGCGACTCACCCAAGTTGCATCTTGCAGCTGAAGAATGTCGTGTTGTTGAGGTTGGCCACGGCGCGCTCGACCGCCAGCGCGTCGCCCATCTGGACCATGGCGCATCCCTCCTTCGTCTTCAGGAACTTTATCTGTGGAAGGACAAGGAAGTTTAGCGAGTATCGAAGGATAGGAAGGGAAAAAATAAAGAATGATTTATGCAAAAGGCAAAAATTCCTTAATTCACGCGCGTTTTCAAAGCCCAAAATATTGTCGCTTTCTGCCTCGTCTGCTGTTCCTATTATTGTACCGCTTAATGTGAATAATGCAAAAGGGATAAGCGATACCGTGAATCCCCTCCCCCGCTACCTCTCCTCACCCCCAATCTCGACGTGCCCGCACTGGCAAGGACTCGTCCCTTTAACCCCGTGGTCAATAAACACCGACGTATGTGCGTGTCGTCGAGGAATGCAGCCTCGTGAAATATATCATCAAACAATTAGGAACGGACACACTCACAAATAATAAATAATTTCAAGGGCGAATCCATTCCCACGACTATTTTTCCTCTATTTCTTATTCGAAAGCGTACCAACGACCGACAATTGCCATAATAACACTCACGTAAATGTGACTTTTTATGTTTGTCAACGAAACAAAAATGCACATAAATCCTCCACTCCAAAAAGACCTATACAGAGGGAGTGGTCGCATTACTGAAAGCCCCAGTGTTCACTTTCACACAACAAAACGTTGCCCGGGACAATGCCAATCACACAACCGCCCGCCCACCTGCAAACCGCCCACGTCAACGGGCACCTGGGAAGGCGAGGGACGCGTTGCAGCACCCGCTCTTGCAACATGCGGGATTCTTCGAAGGGGGGGAGGGTCTTTCAGAGTATTTCAGCCGTCAATGTAAAGGGAGTGATTTTTTTTACACAACATTTGTGGGTCGGAGGTAGTTGCGAGGGAGGGTGTTCTTGAGTGATCACAAGGGTCATTCGATAGGCTTTCCTAACCAAGGCTGCTTCGGAGGCATGGGCGCCGCCGCGCACGCCCTCTGCACTTGAACAGGCTAGCAAACAAGCGAGAAAGGAAGAGCAGGGGCTGGTTTCCTGTGTACTTACCCTGACAACATTGCCGTAGAGACATAGCAAGTTGAAGATCCTGTCGGCGTTCATCTTGTCCTTGTTGAGTCCGTATACCATGAGGACGGCGCCCTGTTGTGGGATGCCGGGCTGGGGCTGTCCCATGGCCTGCAGGGAGGCACCCCCGGGGCCGCCAGCGCCGCCCATGAAGGGACCGCCCTGGCCGGGGCCGCCGCCGCCGCCCACGAGGCCGCCACCGCGCAGTCCGCCGTTACTGATTCCATTGTTCATACCGAACCTGAGAGTAGAAAACGATTAGTTCAAAAAATAAGGCCAAATCCGAAATACTACAGGGTTTCTACACCCGCTTCATCACGTGGCCGAAACGAGACCCCCCTCCCCCCTTCTCTTCCGCTTCTAATTGGCGCTCGAAATTCTTATCGATCCATCAATTTAATTGCTTTACCCTGTCACTCTTACCACAGTCATTAGTTCGGCAGCGACAAATCTATCTTGACAAACTCAAACCTATTAATACTGCCGCCATTATCATCGCCATCCTCCTCGCCCCATCATCATTCGCTCGCTCTCCGCTGGCAACCCTGTTCCATCAATCAACACATTCATTCAGTCCTTCTCGCATCCCCTTCCCTCGTACTTGTCCCGTCCTTCCCCCTTCCCTCCTTACTCCTTCCTACCTATCCTGACCATTCCATTCCATTTTGATTTCTCCTCTTCCTCATCATTTCCCTTCCATCTCCCTCTCCTTCCCCTTCCTCCCTCTTCCCACAGATGTCACTCCCTTCCCATCCTCCAGCGAGGGTCCCAGGGTCCCCGACTCCTGGAAGGCAGTCTACGTGCGAAGAGGCCAGGCGATAAGTCAATAATTGAGTTAGGAGTGTTCGTTAGGCAGATCCTGCCCCTCGCCCCCCATAAGCCATCGCCGGAGGCATTACGCTCGCATCAGCTCCCTTGTGCACAACCCACACGATTGCACGCACGCAGCGCACGCACGCATACACGCACACGCACGCACGCACGCACGCACGCACACACACACACACACACACACACACACACACACACACACACACACACACACACACACACACACACACACACACACACACACACACACACACATAACAATGCTGAACTTTAAAAACGACATTAGCCACACAAGAATAACCGCACTTACAAAAAAAAAAGCATTTCTAAAACAACAATATCTGCAACTATAAAAACATCAATATTTACATATATAAAACATCTATATTTGCATATATAAAACATCAATATCTGCATTTATAAAACAACAACAAAGAAAAGGAACAAGCTCTTCTTCGGGCACACACCTGTCAGGCATGGGGCTGTTGAAGAGGGCGCCGGCTGAGTTGCGGGGGCCGCCCATTTGTCCGTTCATGCCGCCTCCTGGAAGAAAAAAATAATTTGGAACATAAGAACAATGAGGTAACAACGAGAAATGGAGAATTGGAAGGGGGAGCGGGAAGGAATTACGTGGCTTTTCGGCGTCTAGTAACTAGTTTTGAAAGCGGGAAAGGTGGAAACAGTTCCGGAAGATTTGGGAAGGGCAGGAAAAATACGTGAGGGAGAGGGAGGGGGAGGGAAGGGAAGATAGGCGAAAGAGAGGGGAGGGAGGGAGAGGGGAAAGAGGAACCGGCTGGGTCGCGGTAGGTGGAGAGCAGAAAAGGGGGCAGGAGGGGGATGGAGAAAAATTAAAACAAACAACGAACAGAAAGGGAGACACAGGTACTCGTGTTGATGTATGAATATTAAAACTAAAAGGAAGAAAGGGGGAATGAGGGGACGGGGTGAGAAGGGAGGGGAGGGGAGCGCCGGATCAGGGAAGAACGGGGATGAGGGGAGAAAGAGGAAGGATGAAATGCTGAGATAGGGGAGAGGAGGGAGAGAGAGAGAGAGAGAGAGAGAGAGAGAGAGGAGAGAGAGAGAGAGAGAGAGAGAGAGAGAGAGAGAGAGAGAGAGAGAGAGAGAGAGAGAGAGAGAGAGAGAGAGTGAGAGTGAGAGTGAGAGTGAGAGAGTGAGAGTGAGAGAGAGAGAGAGAGAGAGAGAGAGAGAGAGAGAGAGAGAGAGAGAGAGAAAAGGACCCCAGAGCTTCCAAGTCAACGGAGAGCTGAGTAAACATCACGCTAGACCTCAAACTTTCGCCGACTAAATGGGATGTATTCAGACAACACAATGCGCCCAGGCTGTGTTGATTCTGCTACGCGGGATGATGCAGGCGGGGGCAGAGGGGAGGAAAAAGGGGAAAGGTAAATAAGGGACGGGGGGAGGGGGAGAAGGAGGGGAAGGCAGGAAGGGAAAAGCAAAAGAGAAGAGAAATAACAGCGGGGATGTGAGGAAAGGAAAAGAGATACGAGAAAAAAATCCAAGGGGAAAACATAAACACACATTTATAATAAAGAAGTCTTTACACAGAGGGCAATAAACTCTCCTAATCCTCCCCCAATAAGAAAAAAAAGGACAAGACGAACAGCCGGTCAACCACGAGGTCGTCCTCCAACCTCGACCATGTAGCGGTTGTTCTCTCTCACACCTCGCTATTGTCTTCTCCGCCTCCTCTACCTCCCTCTCCCTCTCTCCCTTCTCCCTCTCGCTATGAAACCACTATAAAAAGACCCACTGCCCCTCAACCTCCCCTGCGGTAGCGGCGGCCCCATTTTATTGAGAAAGTGGGAAAGAAAGAAAAGGGCGGGTAATAAGGCAAGAGGAGCGGAGGAGGGAGGCAGGGGAGAGTACGCGACTTGGTGGTTAGGGGAAAGGGGAGGAGAACGAAGGGGGTGGAAAGGGAAGACGAGGAGGCGGGGAAGAGAAGGGAATAAGAATACAAATAAGACAAATAAAAATACGCAGATGCACTGTTACAGAATGGGAAAGGGAAAGGCAGAGGGCGAGGAAAGGGGGGGGGGGGGAGAGAGAGAGAGAGAGAGAGAGAGAGAGAGAGAGAGAGAGAGAGAGAGAGAGAGAGAGAGAGAGAGAGAGAGAGAGAGAGGAGAGAGAGAGAGAGAGAGAGAGAGAGAGAAAGCAAGAATGAGCAAAGCAAAGAAAGGACAGATTAAGAGAAGCAGGAATAGATAAAGCCACAAAAAGTGAAGCCAAGTAGCGGTGGAGAAGCCTTTTTCTCCCCTCTCCTCGAGACAAGAGTGAAAAAGAGAAAGAGGGTGAGGGGGAGAGGAGGGAGGGAGGGAGAGAGGGAGAGAGAGAAAGAGAGAAAGAAGAGAGAAAGAAAGAGAAGAAAGAGAGAAAGAAAGAGAAAGAAAGAGAGAAAGAGAAAGAGAAAGAGAGAGAAAGAGAGAGAGAGAGAGAGAGAGAGAGAGAGAGAGAGAGAGAGAGAGAGAGAGAGAGAGAGAGAAGAGAGAGAGAGAGAGAGAGAGAGAGAGAGAGAGAGAGAGAGAGAGAGAGAGAGAGTTGGCAAGGAAGACGAGAAGAGAGATGTGAGGATCGGAGGCAGCAAAACGACAGAGGAAAGGCAGCGAGCGTGACAGCAACAGCAGCAGCAGCAACAGCAGCAGGAGCAGGAGGGTGACGCCGGGGCCGGCATCCCTGGCTCTAGCACCTGAAGCGTGGCAGAGTAAGGTATTGATTTTCCACTTGAAACGGGTGTGTGGAGCAGCACAGACAATTGGATTACCGCGAGGGTGGTGGCTGCCCTCTGTCCCACAACCTCACTCGGGGCCCCGCATGTCAATCCTGTTTCTCCTTCTCCTGCTCCTGCTTTCCCATTTCTGCTGCGCTGCTCCCGCCTGTCACTCCAAACCCATCCCATCCCATCCCATCCCCTTTGTACAGTCAACGGCAAAAGTTGAACGCACGTAAAGTTTCGAAATTCCTTCTAATCAAACCAACGAGAGCTACATATCTAGTTGTTCTACGCAGAATTCAAAAAACGTTCTTGATTGTCTCGTCCGTGACTGTACCCTGAACCCCTACCAACATCCCCCTCCTCCCCTGCCTCCCCTTTTCCTGTGACCCTCTCTGTCCACAGCAGTGCCCTGCCTCCATCCCAGACCCCGGCAATCCCTGCCAAGGAGCGCCAAAGTTTCCCTTCCCAGCTCGAGGAACCCAAGAGAACGAGGACCCAGGCCATAAAAAGGGAGGGAGGAGAGGGGTGGGGGAACAGAAGGGGAGGGGAGGGGAGGGAAGGGCAAGGAAAGGGGGCCCAAAAGAAAAGCAAACTTACTGAAGGGAGCAGCGTTCATGCCGAAACCGCGAGGCTCCTGCAGGAGGGGAGGGCGAGAGGATCCACCGCCGCCTCCGCTGCCGTTGTTCTGGGGTTCCTTCATTCCTGCGAAAGAGAAAAAATAGGGAAAATTAGTTCACCGGACTCCGCAACTTCTCCGCATTATAGCTCCGAGTTCACCGTACAGTTCAATAGTGAATGAATATTTGATACGTTATTGAGTTCAGAGAATGCGTTCCTGCGGCTCATGCCACTCGCACCACCATTCACTCTCGAAAGAACGCCAATGATCCTAGTGTTCATAAGGTGAACAACTAGCGCCGTCCTCGGGAGTGAATGAATGAATGTTCTACTTGGAAATACACGACTCTGCTGGTGCGACTCTTAATAACAGGACGACCAACTGTTCGCTTGTAGAGTCATGCGCCTTAAAAACAAATAGAAGTATAAATGAACTTTAAAATGTACGAAGTTGTGCTCTAGTTGCGTGTGGAATTCGCACCCTTTCCCCCCCTACTCCTCCTCCTTCCCCTCCCCTCTTCTCTGCACCCTTCCTTCCTTCCTTCCTCCCCTCCCTCCCCGAGAACCTGGGCCGAGGTAAACAACCCATGTCTCGCACTTGCCTAATTGAGAGCTCAAGAGGCGCTCACAAACTTTCTCCCCTGGATTCGTTCTTTCCCTCCCTCCCTACCTCCCTATCTCCCTCTTCCTCTCTCTCCCTCGCACCAGTTTACAACCTAACACACTGGCCTGCATCTAATATTAATTTCTCCGCCATTACCAAAGGCGCGACGGGGATTGGCTTTACAGCAACGTCTCGACTCCTCGCAGAACTCCCCAGGAAGGAAAAGGATAAAGGAAAACGGAAGAAGGGAGAGAGAAGAGGAAAAGGAGGAAATAAGAATATGAATAAGACGGAAAGAAAAAGACGCCAGGCGTTTTGTTCCCCAAAGTTCCTTCCGCTAAGCGAGGGAACCCAAAGACAAAGAGAGGGAGTGCGAAAGAGGCGACAATAAATCGGAGACGGAGAAGAAAAGAACAAACGCAAACAGCAGTAAGAAAAAGCAGCCTTTTCCCCTACTGCCCAGTCTTGCCACGGCACGCAGGCGCGCGGGCCGACAACGGCGCAGGCCTAAATCTAAATCCCCAAGCGATGGGAATGACCCCTCCCCCCACTCCCCCACCCTGACGCCCTGGGTGACGCGAGGAACAAAGAGTATGGGCTGAGGCCGCGGCCGGACCTACAGGCCACGAAGCCTGCCTCGAGCTTTTCCCTGCTTGCCCTGCATAGGCCTGAGCGCGGGCGTGCCTGAGCTGAGTCAGGGCTGGGCGTGGGCCAAGCATCTTCTCCTCCTCCTCCTCCTCCTCCTCGCGGCTCGCCACCGTGACGCACCGCTGGCACTGCCGCCGACGCCGCGGGTGCATTATCTGAGCTTTGTGCCGTGCCGCTCTGCCCACGCCCGCGTACCTGGCTCACACGTGGGCTGCATTCCGTCTGCGACACCACACCTGCCATCCAACACCTTTCGGCCACCACAGGCGGACGCGCGCACAAATATTCATGTATATATACGATGTGTATATATACATACGTACATACATAATTACATACGTACATGTGTATATATACACACAAATCCTTATACACATACACAAGTATATACATCCATATACACATACACGAAGTATATACATCCATATACACATTTACACGTGCGCGCGCACACAACAAAAAAGTGCCACCGGGCGCGCCCCAGGCACGAAATTGCCGTCAGAGCCGCCCTGCGCACACCTAATTGACACGACTCGACATGACCTCCTTCCTCCCCGTCCACCCCCTCCCCAGACCCCGAGATGCCCCTCACATCCAGGAAAGAGTCCCGCCACCGCCCACGGTAATTCAGCTCGGCGGGTGTAGTCTCCCCAAGCCGGGCCGGGCGTTGAGTCTTCTCGGGGCTCAGTAGTCATCACTCATTGGTCCTTCGTCCCCTTCAGTAGTCCATAGTCCTAGAGCGTCTGTACTCCATAGTTCATAGACCGCAGAACAACCTTCCCTCCTTCCTGTCCAATCCCCTGTCCCTCTTTCCCAATCCCTCCTACGGCCTACTTCCTCTCCCGTCCCCCTCCTCCCTCCTCTTCCCCATTCCCCTTACGGGCTACTTCCTCCCGCCGCCATCGGAACTGTAATTTCCTTCTCCTCGGGTGTGTCGAAGCAGAAACGTGCCATCCCCAAAGCCCACGTAAGGTCGACGCTCCCCTCGGCCGAGCGCGGAGACGAGGACCCTACGGCGCGGGCCTCGCTGGACCGTAGTCGGGTGGCGCAGCGCCAGAGCAGCGCCGTCCACCCGCACTCCGCCCGCAGACCAATATGATGCTCGCCGCCGATTCTTACCGCTAATTAAGGGATTTTTGTGGTCTCGCACGCACGCTCGTTCGCTCCGGACAGGGGAGCAGAGTCCTCGTTCGACGGTGAACGGAAGGCAAGAAAGAGGGAATGGAAGGGTAGAGGAAAAGATGGGAAGGGAGGAAAAATGAAAGATGGCAGGAAATAACGACGGCAAGCCGGGAGGAAAAGGATGGATGGAGGGAGGGAGGAAGAGGAAGAGAGAACATTCCACGCAGAAACGAGTGGAACGAATCTCGACCTTTTCCTTCCTAAAAAAAAAATATCGTCATTCCCTTGACAAACAAGCCGATAAATCTAATCAGCGATCTCGGAACACCTGCTCGGATTCATCATCTACTAAATTTACATGTCCATCTCGCTAATATTCCGCCGTATCATTTCCTTAATGGTTGAGGGCAGAGAGGAGAGAGGGAGGAATGGAAAGAGGGAAAGAGAGAGAGAGAGGAATGGGAAAAGGGAGTGAGAGGGAGGGAGGAATTGAAAGAACAATATAGATAAGAGAAGAGAGGGAGGGGGAATGGAGTGGGGGAGAGGGAGAGAGAGAGGGAGAAAGAAAAAAAGAGAGAGGAATGGAAAAAGGAAGAGAGAGAGGGGGAGGATTTGAAAGAAAGAAATATAGATAGATAGATAAATAGAGGGGAGGGAGGAATGGAGTGGGGGAGAGGGAGAGGTGGTGAGAGAGGGAGACAATGAAAAACAGTAGAAAGAAAAAGAGAAGGGATAAGAAAGAAAAAGAATGCGAGAACGAAGGAAGAGCGCCTCCACAGCAGGCCGAGCGCGCGCACGAGAGGGACCCGCGGCCGCTCTCCCCGCACGCCAGCCTCCGCCTCCGCCTCCTCCTCCTCCTCCTCCTGTCCGGCAGATAATCCATCCTTGTCCCGCTTCCACGAAAATATCCTCACTACTCCTCGCCCTATATCCTACATCGCCTCCCGCCATCAATCTCTCTCTCTCTCTCTCTCTATCTCTGTGTGTGTGTGTGTGTGTGTGTGTGTGTGTGTGTGTGTGTGTGTGTGTGTGTGTGTTGTGTGTGTGTGTGTGTGTGTGCAGTTTCTTCCTCTCCTTCCCTTCCTTATCCTTACCAGGGATAATACCACCCCACAAACACACAAAAACCCCAATAACAGACCAACCGCCGCCGAGATGATAAACACAATATCCAACAAGAAAACGAAAAGAAAAAAAAAAAAAACAACAAACACGACAGCAAACAAAAACCAGACAGGGGGAAAAAATCCTGGAAATTTTCCTGGCCAATCAATGCATCAAGCAATCATCTCCTCCCCCCCCCTTCCCCCTCTCTCTATTTCCATCTCCGCCACAATCAGTTTTCCTCCTCCCCTCTCCCTCTCCCCTCCCCCAATAACTATCCCCTACCTAGAAACCAGCTTTCCTCTCCCTCCCTTCCCCCTCCACCACAAAGCCAGTAGGATATTCTCCCTTCTCCTTCCCTCTCTCCCTCTGGGAAGAGAAGCGGAAAGAAAGCGATGGTGATGGAAGAAGAGGAAAGAGGGAGGAGGTGAAGGAGGAGGAGGAGGAGGAGGAGGAGGAGGAGGAGGAGGAGTAAAGGAAAGAGGGAGAAGGAGGAAGGGAGGAGCTGGAGGACAAGGAGGAAAGGACGAGGACGAGAAAGGAGGAAAATAAAAAGGGCGATGAGAGAAAGGAAGAGGAGGGAAACTAAAGCGACATTTGCCTTGACATAAAGAGCTGAAGCGGAGAGAGAGGAAAAAAAAAAACTTGTTTGGCGACCCCGCGGTAAATTACAACTTTGAAACTGGAGTAACGAGGGAGGTGGACGGGGGGGGGGGGATGTGGATGGAATGAGGAAAGAGGGGGAGGGGCGGCGAGATCCGAGATAGAGGAGGGAGGGAGGGAGAGGGAGAGGGGAGAGAGAGAAGGAGAGAGGGGGAGAGGCAGAGAGAGAGGGAGAGAAAGGCGGAAATGCAGAACTCGAAGTGACAACGCAGAGAGAGAGAGAAAGAAAGAGGGGAGGGGATGATAAACGAGGGACACAGCAGAACAACAAACCCATAACGTTCCCGATGAATAAAGAAAAAGGGGAAAACGAACTGGCAACACGCGAGAAGATTGGAGGGGAGAGAGAGACTCCACGAAGGGAAAGGAATACCAGAGAATAGGCGGGGGACGATAAAGATTGATAAATAGTGGCGGTGGAGTCGAGGAAGGGGAAGAAGAGGGAGAGAGGGAGAGAGGGAGGGAGGGAGAGAGAGAGAGAGAGAGAGAGAGAGAGAGAGAGAGAGAGAGAGAGAGAGAGAGAGAGAGAGAGAGAGAGAGAGGAGAGAGAGAGAGAGAGAGAGAGAGAGAGAGAGAGAGAGAGAGAGAATTACTCAACGACCACAACAGTGACACGTATGGGCACTGTATAGACGGCAAGTGTGGGCATGATGGCACTAGCACCTGCCTCGAGCCCTCTCCACCCTTCCGACTCCATACACCGATCACATTACCCCTATCCAACTCCCCACCCTAACGTACACCTACCCTTCCCATCCTCCCTCCCAAGACCACCACCACCTTCCCCTTTCCCTTCTAGCCCCAAGACGACCACCTCTCCTCCTCCCCCAAGCCCAAGACCTTCTCCCAACCCTCCTTCCCCTTCCCTCTCCCAACCCTCCTTGCCCTCCCAAGCCGCAAGACCTCCTTGCCCCCCCCCTGCCCTCCCACCATGATTTGTCTA